CAGAGATGTGTATAATAGTCAGTTGGAAAATAGAGCCTTGAAAAAAATGTAATTTTGGATTTTGATTGATATATGAAGGCGCGAGTGAAGGAGGCGGCCAGTCGAGCTGCGTTAGTCTGCGTCTGTCTGAATTAATTTTTTTCTACGTGTGCGTGCGGACAGGCCAATCAAATGTTTTTTTCACTGGTGGAAGTGGGTCTTGGGAGTATCGTCACGAGCGTGTGATGGGACCTAACTTTTGGATGGTATTGTTGCGAGTGTATACTTAACATTGTAACCTTAACATTGTATGTATAGCTATTTACTTTCTTATTACTTACTTATTTTTGTCGAGGACACTTTCTCTAAAGCAAATAATAGAGTTAGAGAATCATAGTTAATAATAATAACAACGTCTAAATAAGCGTAATAATATTGCTTTTATAAATTCAAATTAAATGTATTCTTGTTTGTCCAATCAATGCTATCCGCGATTTCGTAGACCTCCGAGAAAGCGTTATACTATAAGAGAGCCGAAATCAGCGCGCCGAGCCAGTAACCGTAATCGCATCTACACGCTCTAATTGTAAGAGTCAAAATTAAGTGTCCTCGCTAAATTTATACATTAACTAGTGCGAATAATTTGTACATTAGTTTTGATAAAACGTTAATTATATATAGTTAAAAAAAACTCTGTAATTATATATTTGACTCTAAACCCAACAACTTTGAAATTTTATTTATAGAACATAATGAGAAACTACTATTTGATGGTTATTTCTTTTCATATACGTATATATCTTCTGTTAATTAAATTGAATTAAATAATATAGAAAACTAATGAAACGATAATTATCGATATTTTTGTTTAGATGCGAATTTTTTTTGTCTGAAGTTCGGCCATTGCTTTAGAATTCTTAAAAAATTATAATCCTATAAAAAAGGGCATGTTCAATCGAAGCCTCTCGAACATCTCGAAGTTTATTATTATTAATTATTTTGTTTATTTTGTGCGACAATGATTAGTTCTCTTGCTGTGTTAACTTTATGAGCGACTTGTCTTTGCATATTTTGACAGTTGTACATATTGATGTTGATGTGATATAATAGCAAATTATATTAAAAAGATGTAAAAAACTGTTAAATAGCACACCCGAAGCGCGCATCTATAATGCTAATAAAACAAAAAAATGGATAAATAAAAAATCAATAATTTCAAAAGCTTTATTTATTATAAATTCTCTTTTACTATCTACATTCAGGATGAAAAAGACTACGACTATTATGCCGATACAACACATGATGATGTATGAATTATTTTAAATAATGCGCAGGTTACGTACAATTGCAACTTTATCTATTCATAAGATATTTGTAACGCCAAATATACATAAAGAGATATTTATTGATCACAATTTTCTCTTATTTCATATTTTTAAATATGTTGATTGTTAAATTTTTCAAATAATTTTTGTTTTAAAAATTTTTGTTTTAATAATAAAAAACTAGCTGAATTAATTTATTGAAAAATACTTATTAAGTCTTGTTATTTTTTATATAAAATCGTAACTTTTAAAGATATGTTATTTATTTTGTAAATATCTAACAATACAAATGTAAACTGTACAAATGTAAACAAAATTTATCTGTACTATTTTATTCACTTAAGTCTTGAGACGATGGTCATACGTATGGACGGATTTAATAGATGCATTCTTAAAGACTTTAGTATAAATAAATATAGATTTAATAAATTATATAAAACTTTTTAGGCAGTTTCTTTGACATTAGAATTGATGGTAGCCATTTCGTGGTTTGCTGTAATTTTGTCTCTTCCATTGGATATCGTAACTGCATTCTCACAGGTCTAAAAAGAAGCAACATTTAATGTGATTTTTCTCATAAATCTCGATAAAAAAATATATGTTATATAAATATATCTTTTTCTAAAACTGAAATAACTTATTGTAAGATAAATGCAATAATGGCCACATATATCTTCTAACGTAAGTGCTGAAGTAGCTCATTTAAGATGTTGAGGCCAACTTAACGGATATAGTGATGCATTTATCTTACGCTACGAATACAATAACAATAACAATGAATTACCCATAGTTTCTTGTTGTAATTCTACCTTATAGGAAGGATTGTCGTATGCTGACGTCGTTTTACGAGGTGATATGTCAGCTTTACTACTCGTTCGTCTTTTCATCAACATCATTAGTAGAATCAAAGTCGATAATATTGCTAAAGAAGCCACGATGGCCACTATCACTAGTGGACCATAGTAATCTCCTTCATGAAGAGGAAGCGATGCAAATTTTCCGGCTGAAGAAAAAACCTTATAGTTAATTTTATAATAAAGACATAAAAAGATAAAATTATTTAAAAAATTACGCTCATAAGGAACGAGAGCGGAAAAAAAGCTAAATTGCACATTTTATGACGATGAATTAGAAATATGTGTTTTATTTAAAATTGAGGAGAAATTGAAGAGAAATATTTCAAAATGGCATCACAAAGGAGGATGTTAAAAAAGGACCGATTTTTGCCCCCAAATGTGTAAGTAAAAACTATAATGTTTTTTATAGATTTTGATCTTCTAAATACTGAACGATAGAACTGTTAAAAAGTAGCGGTTGGGGAGCACTTTGAAAATTGAGCATAAACAGTGTATTTATCGAAATTTGAATGATGAATCATAAAATGTACGTATTCTTTGAAGAGAGAAGAAAGAAGGAAGTAAGAATTGTGCGTGTGTGTGTGTGTGTGTGTGTGTGTGTGTATTAAATACATTTTATGATTTATTATCCGAATTTCGGTAAATACATTGTGTTTATACTCAATTTTCAAGGTGTTCGCCAAGCGTTACGAATTTTTTAATAGTTTTATTGTATTCAGGAGATCAAAATCTATAAAAACCACCATAGTTTTTATTTACATCTTTGGAGGCAAACATCGGCCCTTTTTTAACATTCTCCTTGATCATACAATCTTTCTCTTTGAATTTTTATAAGAAATCACAGAAATATCTAAAGTATGTAAGATTAATAAATCTCTCTCTTTCGGGAGTTAATTTTATTATATGATAAAAATATGATAGCAGAAAAGTAAATATTATATTTGCATAGGAATATTGTTACCTTGTTGAGACACGGTAGCCGATAAGAGAACACCTGGCTTAGTGACGAAATCCTGTACATTACTCTTTTTTATTCTGCCATTTGTCAAATATATTTCAAGCCATAATCGGTATCTCGTCCCCGGTTTTAGGTCATTGATCACGGTTTTAGCATGAGAGTCTCTTTTGGCAATTTTGAAGGTACTAGTATCTTCTTTGCCAGTGTCGCTCTGGTAAATCGCACGATAAATGTTCACATATTTGTCCTCCGGATAAGGTACGCCACTCCAGGAAACTTCTACATCCGTTGATTTGATAGTTTTGATCTCAACTTTTACATCGAAGGAATATGGATCTGGTTCCATAAACGTAGTTACCTGGAACTATAATAAATAGTAATTTAATAATAATTATATTGTCTCTTTTTTGTTATGTTGCTTTATTCTGTATAGAAATATTATATAATATAATTATTAACCACTCATCTTCATATTCTTATATTATGATTATTATAAATAATAATGACGTATCTTAATATAAAAAACCATAAATTAAAACATATATATAAAATAATAAAAGTGGATTATTTATATATTTTTTAAACAAACTTCAAGATTAAATCGTTAATCGATTTAATTTGTTACAAGTTATTCCGGCCTCATGTAATGAACTGTATTTCAAGATCGACGAATATGCGGCGCGCAGTTTGCGTGTGGTTGGATATTGTAAAAAAATTATTACACACCGTCATCCTGTGTTGACTCGTATACGGTCTAATATCTGTTTGATATATTTTAGTGAGCCTATGTATCTAACATATAATTAATTTTTATTTTGCTGATTGGGTTTTTATACTTTTGATGTATTTCTTACAATATTACACCAACTTTCAATAACTCGTTTTTTTATATAATTTTTTAATATATCATAACTTTCATATCAATACTTGCATTTTAATTATTAGCATGTAAATTATTATTTTTTTGGTAAAAATTTTTCTCAAAATTCTTTATAGATTTTCAAAATTTTTCAAAATTTATGTATAATTTTGTAACTTTAGAAAATTTCTTAGATTTTTTAATACAAATTGGAATACTTTTCAAAAGTATTAAATTTACATCTTTTCTAAAACCTTCATATACATTTTCGAATTTTAAAATATTCCAAGATTTTTAAGATTTTTCATTCTATATAATCTCTGAAAATGTATAAATCTGAAAAAGGTTAAAGATATTTTTTTTTAAACTTTCATAAATTTAAAATATGATAAATTCTTAAAAATATTATAAAATATTATAAAAATTTTGTTTTAGGGTTAACATCACTTTTGAGAAATATTTTAATAATTTAATTAATCCAGAAATTGCCAATTCCAGATAATTTCAATAATTGTTTAGAATACTTTACCGTTTTTTCGCTTATTAATTCCGTTAATTGTCCTGGAAACGGTATGAAGTAAATACCGATTTCATATGTGGTTGACGGTTTCAGGTTTTCAATTACGTAATTCGTTACAGCACGATGGATCAATGGTGTTGCTGCATAAACTTTACTATCATATTCTTTATATCTCAGCTGAACACCGTCTATGAATTGCAATTCATATTCCGTGAATTTCTTCCACATGACATTAACCCAGGTTGAATTCGTTTCCGCTATTCTAAGTTCAGCATCAATTGGTATTTGCGGGGGCAAAGTCGTCTCCTCTGCATGTTTCTCTAACGTACGCACACTATAAATCTTGCTAGTTGGACTATTGGCCAAGTCCTTCAGTTTCACTGTAATCTTTACCTTGTATTCAGTCATTGGTTTTAGATCACCTAATTCAAACTCAAGTTGAGGTGTTGCGATTAAGTCATTGGGAGGCGCAAACACTTGTGCTTTCCATGTAGATAGATCGAAATTCCTATAAAATGAGAAATTCTATTATTTCAAGGATCAAGAAAATATTTCACATAACATGTCACAAAAAAATAAGGGTTTTGAAATTCCGTCTTTTACAATTGGTCTCTCGAGTTACGTCTTTAGTAATAAAAAATCGGTTAATGTAAAGAATTGCATCTGGAGATTAGAACTTTCTGTAACAAGTTATTAAATTGACATTGCAAAAGCACTATAAACTCTTATTGAAGGAGAAAGATTTAAAAATAGTAGGCACTTCAATTGTGTCTCACTTTAGAGTAGATATTTAATTAAAGAGAAAAAAGGAAAAGAATAACACGTAAGTGTACGATTTCTGTGACGATAATATTTCAAAGGAGGTGTGAGATGCCTGTCAATTTTCATACAAAAGAACGACGAGTCATTATTGCAAGCATATTTGAATAATATTTACTAAAAATTAAGAAAGTGACAACGTAAATAAATATTAAGTAATAAAGTAAGTATTATACAAAAATGAAAACTATATTTTGTCTTTTCTTGTGATTTTCTCTAAAATGAAACAAAAAAGAGCATATTTTTAAAGGACTTTTTCCCTTAGTTTTGATCCCTTAATTTACGCTCCCGAAATTTAAGACTCGTTTCTCGGGACTAATTTTTGACTGAGACTTGCACGATAAAATAATACAAATGTCGGTGGTATTGCAACTTTCAAGCTTCGTAATTCGAGATTTACTTAACTGTTAAAAAATATTTTATCTAAGTGTTTTGAAAAGCTCTTGACACCAGTTATTAGATTTTGGAATAAAAAATAGAGTGTTCTATTTAAAAAAAGTGACCTTTACTTGATCTTGGCGACGCCGCTCAAGGTCAAACTGATAAGATCAGTAAATAGATTTTTTTAAGCCCTACAACTTTTGTTTGAAACATTTTTTTGAAAAACTTTCTTCCGAAATAATTTGCCCTTCTGACCTTTTTTGAACGCCCTGTATATATTATTTCTCAGCAAAGAGTAGAATAGATTAATAAACCATAAAAGACGGAACTTAATTAGTGTTTTGATAAGATACAGATATAATCTTGATCTTTATATAATATAATTAAAAAAAAACAGTTAAAAGTATTAAGTTGCACTAACAATCTTTTTGAATTGTGAAAGACATATCGTATGATAATATTGTCTCATATTAATTTAGATAATTTATCATACATAGGATAATATTTAAGATTATTATTCTTTCTTTATTAGATCTAAATATTTATCATGATAAATGGTATTTTAATACGTACGTTTTATCGCTAGTATATCGTAACTCAACTCGTCCATGTAGTCCCACCAGAACCTGAGGTACAGTAAACACTAATCGGACTGTATGTTCATCCAGTGCTTCCAGTACTTGCATTATAACTTCATTGGAGGGAGATGTAGCTGGAAATCCAGTTATACCTCCAGGTAGAGGAAAGCCTGGAGGTACAATGTTATGGTCCAAACCTATAATATATTAGAAAGATTTATTATTACGTTGCATATAGTAGTAAAAACCAATTTTTATTTCTGTTAAAGTTTAGAGATATGCGAGAACATATGATGAGTCTTCTCTGAATAATAATAATGATCACCAACATGAATCTTTTCCAAGTATTACATTATAATTAACAGGTTGACATAGCTTTCAAAATTCTGTTCCATATATTCTATTCTATATTCAGACTAGTTAGAAATAAATTGTAACTATACAAATCTGATCTTTTTAAGAGTCCGCGATGCTACAATAGCTACAAATATCTAATGACATCTCAAGAGCGTGAGAAATATATTGCATTAGATATATTTGCAACTTATATTCAATTAAGTCAATTTTTCAACAAAAAATCGTATTTATCCATTAAAAAAAATAAAAAAAATTCAAAATACATCCAAATAAAACAACAAAATTAAAAAAAACAAATAATATTTTATAATCTCTTTGTTATACTTAATCTTTTGCGCATTAATCATTTTTCTATGTTTTAATATAAATTCAGACAGCATGTATGTCCAAAAATGAAACATAAGGCGTCTAAAAGATATTCAAATATTTTTTTTAGATGTCATATCATAAGAAATTTTAAAGACGTTTTAGATGCTTTTTAGATGTCCTTAAAATGCCTTATAACTCACTTTTGGATATACATATGTACTGTTGCGTGCTGTCTAAGAAATTTTGCGTTATTATTTTAATATTATTTTTACTTTTTATTATTTGATTTTATTTAAAAAAAAAAACGTATTTACTTCAATATTTTGTTTGAATATGTATCTAATCTGACCGTATATCTTTTCACGAGGTCTACAATAACGTTTATTTTTATCGTATTCTTATCTCCACACACGTTTCAATAATTTTAAGATTTTTTTTTCAAGACCACAGTATTTAATCACAAAAATTTGTAAATGAATGTCTTTTACGTGCATTAACGTACACGTTTTTTATATAATTATATAGCATTTTCCGTAATAAGAGATGTATCTGGCGCACGTGGCGATGTTCCTTATCGAAAAACAAAATAAACTTTTCTGCAAATAGAATATAAATAATATTAGTATTATGATCAATTCTAAGTGCATCAAAGTGCAGCATTTTGTAAATTGTGTATTAGAGATGCAATCAAATAATAAAATTTAATTTTTTGATTGACTATGAGTAGATTTTCATGAAAGCTTAACTCTTGGGAATAGTTACAAAGCCATGTTGAAGTTTCACAAATTATGAAAAAATGCGCATTCAATAAATGTCGGTGAATGAAAACATTATTTCATTTTTCAGTAAGGAAAATCAACTCATTTATCAAATGCGACTGCTAATGAAAATTCTGTAGATTATTTCTTTTGATGATCAGGAACGAACCTGATTTAGTGGGCGTTTGTGCTGCGAGCGGGTGGTTCAAGTGCGTAAGTCCTGAATGTGGTATATGAGCGTCTATATGAAGTGGTAGCGTTGGCAATGGGCCGTTCGGTACATTTTGGGATATAGCTGGTTGTCCGGAATAGTGTTGAAAGGATCCAGGATTGGGATCGTGCTGATTGATGTGCGCTAATAATTCTTCGATTTGCTGTGGAGTATTTGGAATATCGGGCGTGTGAACGTGATAAATGGTCTGCCCGTTCTCATTTTGCGCAACGATTTGAGGTTTCGTCGTCTTCTTCGGCGCGGTAGATGTCGTTCCGAAATAAACGGATTGTGGTCGATTATTAGGCGAATGTTTTTGACTAGAAATTTGTTGGTGAAGGTCATACAGACCCGGGTAATCTTGGGAAAGAGTATGATTGAGTTGAATTGGGCCAGAGTGTTGTAAGTTTATCAAATGATAAAGTTGCTCTGGCAAAGTCTCATGACCAGGATTCCTTTGATTTTGTTTTGGCCGATCTAACAATACCGAGGACGATTTTGATTTTTCTGCGTCGATAAAGGGATTACTCAGTGTGATCTTCTTTTTCGAAACCATAGGAACAGCCATGTTTGGATCGATCAAATCAGGTTTGATGGGAATTGAACCCTGATGAGGTAATCCAATTGCTGAATTACTGTATTGGTTATTGAAATTAACTGGAGAGATGTTTTCTTCGTTGTTAGGGATGAAAGAGAATCCTGCATCTGACTTATCAGGTTGAGGATGTAATGGAATAAACTGAGCCTGATCAATGGGATGATCTTTTGGCGAAGGAGTGAATTTATTTAGATCCAATGAACCTGGGTGATTTTCATTGATGGGATATGGAAGCATTGAAGTGGCCTTATCGGGGAACTTATCAGGTGCTAATGGACCAGGGAAATACTGATCAATTATTTCTTTGTGAGATTTTAGCAATTCTACAGGTTTTTTCGAATCGGATTTTGATTTTGATTTTTCCTTCAAAATCGGCTTTTCGGAGTGAACGGATAAATGAAAGATGTCTTCTACATTGTGATGAGTGGATAAGAAGTCGGGACTGTAAGGTCCGTTATAAGGCACTGTGGGATGTCCTGGATCCATAGGATAGTGAAGAAGTTCATGAGTAGTAATGTCTGTTTGGGTTTTATCAGTTTTCGGGTCTTCCGAGAAGGGAGAAGTACCGTGCTCCGGTTCCTGGCTGGGCTTGAACATTTCCGACTTATTCGATCTTTTGATATTGTCAATCGTTTGCCGATCAAACGTGTTTGTAGCTAAGGGGCCGGGGTACGCGGTCGTCACGTTCACTCCTGCAATAAGTAAAGTCCATTGTCACAGAGATTGTCAGTAATATAGGTCATAAGTTGTCCGGAGTCCATGCATATTTACAACGGATCCATTTAAACATTTCCAACCGCAGCCTTGGCAACATGAAGCATGCATTTACAACTTTGCTTTTATTTAGTTATTGCATTGTCAATGCAAAGTATGTACAAAAAGAAAAAAAGAGTAAAGTTGACAAATAAATTCCGAGGGAATGTCACTTAATTCACCTAAAGCCGTTAATATATCATAACACATGAAAAAAGTGCAATCTAAATAGCAATTGCGCAATAACGCACCCATGTAAGTACGCATTTAGCACGATCTATATTTGTACTTAATCTTTCTATTTACATAAGATTATATTTAATTTTTAGGAATAAACAGACATACAAGATACATTTTGTACTTTAATGTATAACGCTTAACGTTTCATATAGGGTAGAAATATCGGTTTTGGCCACTGCACCGGTAGCCATCATAAACACTTTCGAGGATTTTTTATATTTACACGTAGTTAATGGCGATACAAAACAGTGATTTTCAAAAGACTTCGTGTATTTCAGCAATATTTAAAGTAGTGCTCGGAAAACCCGGGTACCCGCCCGCCCGCCCGTCATTCGTTACACACATGTGAGAATCGATTTCTCGGGTACTCGTATCACGCGGGTACTTGAATCAGGCGGGTACCCATATTACGCGGATACCTGTATCACACGGGTACCCGTATCACACGGGTATCCGTATTACGCGGGTACCCGTATCATACGGGTATTCGTATCATATAATACGAACACTTACTTTATATTAGTACTCGCATTACACGAGTATTCGCTAGTATCAGACGGCGAATGAATCGCATTAAATAATTTAATCTATCCAAATAAAAATATTTAATAAAAATTAATCAAAATTCATAAAATTTTTAAAATAACTTTTATTCTATTTCATTAAAACTTAAATTAAAATTTACCAAGCAAAATAAAATTAATAGAAATTAAATTATTCTGCAAAAGAATAGAAATACAAAAAAAATTACTAAGAAACCATTTGTTATCAAAAGATTTATACATGGTGTCCCATTTTAATCGATCACCTCAAATATCTCTTGAACAGTGCATTTTAGGGAAAAATATTTCAGACAAAAGTTTTGGAACTTCGAGGGGGACATAAGATGAAAAAACTTGATGTGCCCGCATTTTATATACATCTTATCAATTAAATATTAATGCAATTCGTGCACGCCAAGTTTTTTCTTCATTATAATCCAGTTTATCACTTTTCCATTTTTTAAATTTTTGAATGTTTTTCACAAATAAGCTTTTTTGAGGTCACAAATAAGTCTTTTTTAAAATAATGAGGCTAGTTTAATATCTTGGCCATAATTTTTTTGATTTGACGACTATTTTTAATCAATCAATTTTTAAATAATTGTACATTTAAATTATAAAAAAAAATTGTTCTTAGTTTTAGAAAGAACGTAAATGACATTTTTTATGTATTTGGCGTATATTTTTCTTTTTTTAAAAAGAAAACTAGATCAATGAGAAGCTCGCATTGGATGGAAAGCGTGCTTCTCATTGGTCTCTCTAGTTAGTAGTTCAATATTCATTTTCCAGAAGCGCTGAAACCAGCTCAATCGCCGGTTCCAGCTAAATCGCGGACATGGCCGCTTTCAGGGTAGCGCCTCGACAGTGCCAGTCTCGTATACTCACAGGTCATCACCTGACTTTTATATACTTGGTGTCGCGCCGCTATCGCGTCGCTTGATAACACATGTGTTATATTGTAATTATATCGTTTATTGGGAAGTTACAACTAACAAGTACGTTACATGTAACTTGGTGTTTGCTGGAAATCACGAATAAATTAAATTATATTTTAAATATGAAGTCAGTGCAAATAAAATGGTCGTTTTTCGTGTTATTATATGAGGAACGGTCACTTTATTTGCACTAACATGTAACTTGATGTTTGTTGGATTTTTTGAAGGATTGTCTTTTTTAGAGGTTTCCCTACAGACATCTCGATATCCATCGATAAGAAATGTGATTAAATGATTTTTACAATAGACTTATTGGTTGAAGTAGTAGTTCTTAACTTTTTTAATTGAGGGATATTTTATTTTAATGTATAATACAAAAATATATACTTGCGTTGTAATTAAGAGTTTGTTTTTACATATTTTAAATCTTTTTGTTATTAAAAAAGTATAGATTTTATGACAAAAGTAAAAATGTTATTGATTTAAGCAATAAATACTTACTACAAAATTTTCTTGTATCACTGAATGTAAAGCCAAATGTAAGAAGTTAAATTATTAGAAAGAAAATTCTTTAATATGAATCTATCGAAACTATTTCCAAGAATTTTTTTTGAGTATTTACATTTAAATTAAAATTTCTAAATTTAAAAGAAAAATTTCCAATATAGCAATAGTAAGCAATGGAAAATTTAACAAATATGTAAATGTTTTATTCATTAGATATACTTTTTTAATTGATGTTTTATTTTAGGTAGATTATATAGATTATATAGATTGAGCGAGACTTCAAAGACAAATAAATTGATAACAAATTTATTTTTACTAACAACAAATTTTGTGTAAATCTAAATGCTAAAAATTACCTTTGTTAAATATACATATACAGGGTATCTGGTACTCAATGGTAAAGCGCTCGTGGACAGTTAGATTAGACTAAACTGAATCGAAAAGTCCTGTACCATTTTGTGATCTTTACAATTTTTTAAATAAGTAATATCTCGATAACTATTTGAAGATCGCAAAATGGTGAAGGACTTTTTGATTAAGTTTAGCTCTACCTCTACCCACTCTATCTGCCCATGAACGTTTTACCACTAAATATCAGACACTCTGTATACATATACAGGGTATCCCATTTTAAAAGATGCATTCAAATATCTCAGAAATAATGCGTCAAATCGGAAAATGTTTGAAACAAAAATTGTAGGGCTTAAAATAGTCTATTTATTGGTCTTATCGGTTTGACCTGTGTCGCCAAGGTCAGGTAAAAGTCACTTTAATTTCTCGGAACACTCTATTTTTGATTCCAGAATCTTATAGCTGGTGTCAAGAGCTTTCCAAAACACATAGATAAAATATTTTTTGATTAAGTAAATCTTGAGTTATGAAGCTTGAAAGTTACAGCACCGTCGGCATTAGCATTATCCGAGGTGTCCAAACACTGAATAAAAATCGTTTAGGATCATGATCTTGACAATACATGTATATATCAGGATCAAGGCCAATAAAAGTTATTGCTCTTATTTTTATTTTTTGAAAAAAAAAAAGAGAAACAACTTTCAATGGTCATAACTTTGACATATATTATCAAGCTTATAATTCTGAACAACATTGAAAAGATTTTAGCCATTGTTCGGATACTTTGGATAATGCTAATGTTGGCAGAACTTCAACTTTTAAGCTTCATAACTCAAGATTTACTTAATAAAAAAATATTTTATCTATGTGTTTTTGAAAACTCTTAAAGCTATTAGATTTTTGAATCAAAAATAGGATGTTCCTGGTTCCATTTAAAAAAATTAAAATGACCTTTGCCTGACCTCGGCGACGCCACTCGAGGACAAACCAATAAGACAAGTAAATTGATTTTTCTAAGCTTTAGTTTCAAACATTTTTCGATTTGACAAACTGTTTCTGTGATATTTGAGTGCATTTTTAAAAATAGGACACCCTGTATACATATGGTATATATATATATGTGTGTGTGTGTGTGTGTGTGCGAGTGTGCGTGCGTGCTCGATCGCGCGCGCGCGCGCGTGCGCGTCATACATCTCTCATTCCAAATACTGCGTGCATTTTGAAGAATTCAGAACCTTTTGGTTGATTAAGATATTGGGGAATATATATTTTCCAACTATTATTTACCTGGCAGTTGTGCTGAAGGATGGCTACAAGTCCACTGCATACAACATGGGTTAGCAGATACATATGTCAATGTTGCTTGATGAGGAGGACATGGTAAATTAGCAGGCGGCAAGGCTGGTACAAATTTGCAAGCAGCTTTACAGGTCACATTGCCTAGCTCACAACGACAATGCCTCTCGCAGCCTGTGACATTCGAGGGTAAGTCAGTCCAGTTGTCGTACATGACTCCTTCATAAATACAGGAGCCATTATTCCGACAGCGTACTTCCTGGAATTCGATGATTATTGTGAAAATACGGAAATTTATTGAGACAGATTATAAACTTTTCTTAGAATTTTTGTTAAAAAAATAGTTGTTATTATAAATATATAAATTATATTACATGTTATTAAAAAATAGTTGTTATTTAAACATAATCTTATTTTAAAAACAAAATCTAACTGAGACTCTGCAAATATTTTGGTTTTATTTTAAGTTTGACAATTTTTATTTATAGATAATAAATAATTTCACATCTTAACATTACAATTTTTACTCAAGATCTTAAGAAATATATTTTTAAAAATATTGAAACATTATATAGGATAATTCCGATATCAAGAGACACGGTAGTATCTCACGCCAAGTATGCGCGTGCCTGCATACGGGTCGTGAGACCGAGCCGTGTCTCTTTACTGATGCTTACTTGCATCTTTTAATAAATTATTCCGCTTTCCCCTTTGTTGCGATTCCAAATAAATGCTAACTTGCATCTATAGGATCTATTCTCCCCGAAACTGTAAAGAATTTATTGCGAGAAAATATCATCTCATGTTCTTAGCCATCAGGAATCGAACCCTTCACGTTGGCCGGACCATAGTCATGCAAAAACTTGATCATTATGTAAAATTTTTTTCTTTTTTAAAAATGATTAGTATCTCAATAACTATTGCGAAAATCGCAAAATGATAAAGGACTTTTCGATTCAGTTTAGCCCACTCTACCTGCCCACGAGCGCTTTATCATTAAGTACCGGACACTCCGTACATACATATACATATGTATACATATATACATCTATTTTTAATGAATTTATTTTATATTTGACAATTAGAATAGAATTAATTTATTTTGTGTAATCCATATCTAAATTCAAGAAGTAGAATTGTATGTTTATTTATTTAATGTGTGTAAAATACGATTTTTTAATTTTCAACCTGAATTAAATAAAAAAGTTCTATAAATTTTATAATTATAATTAATAAGCAGTATATCCTAGTGTTTTCCGCAAGAATCAGCAAACATCTAGTTTCTAATTTGCTCATTAAATTTTTATCACTTCTTAAAAAGAATAAAGAATAAACAATATTCAATTCTAATTTATATAGGAAAAATCTTAGAACTGTACCTGAGGGCAGCATTGTGGTGCTTTTGGAACGAAATTCGCTGGAACTGTCTCCCAATCTAGACAGTGAGGATCCAATAAGTGGAGTCCAAAATCCGTAGGACACTCTATCGTAGCGCATTCAGGTTTGCCATTCTCTGTGCAAATACAGAAGGAAATACACTCATCGTACCATTCTGCGCCAACTTTATATGATTTTCCCCTGTAATTACAGGTATTCTTGTCTGATATTTTCTCCGAAATATTTGTCTTCACTACTTCGGCTGGCAGGGACACTTGTACGGCTGGTCCAGCATGGTTTCCTTCTGCCACGCGAATAGAATATGTATGCGCGGGTTCGAAATTCGAAATTATACCATCTGCAAATATATAAATATATAACTTTGTCTTATCTTGTGTTTTTTCAATCTTTGCACAATTAAACTTTTCAAAATTATAGCAATGATATCCTATAATTCAAGATAACAGAAAGAAATATCATTATACACTCCGCGTAAAAATTAGAGGATCATCTATTCTGATCGCTAAAAATAGGCAAATATCAAGAGAGTATAACTTTGTCAAAAATGATCGTAACAGAATGATCAAAAAAGCATTTTTCACAGTCTAAAGTCTCTATTTTTGACATCCACAATTCATTAAATGACTTACT